GGAACTACTTTCCCCTGTGATACAGCTTGTCATTACATGTACCTGTAGGGGATTGAGGAACTACTTGCCCCTGTGATACAGCTTGTCACAGGTACATGTAATGACAAACTGTTTCATAGGGGCAAGTAGTTCCTGAATGCCCTACAGGTACATGTAATGACAAGCTGTATCACAGGGGCAAGTAGTTCCTCAATCCCCTACAGGTACATGTAATGACAAGCTGTATCACAGGGGAAAGTAGTTCCTCAATGCTCTACAGGTACATGTAATGACAAGCTGTATCACAGGGAAAAGTAGTTCCACAATGCCCTACAGGTACATGTAATGACAAGCTGTATCACAGGGGGACAGTAGTTCCTCAATGCTCTACAGGTACATGTAATGACAAACTGTATCACATGGGAAAGTAGTTCCTCAATGCCCTACAGGTACATGTAATGACAAGCTGTATCACAGGGGGAAAGTAGTTCCTCAATGCTCTACAGGTACATGTAATGACAAACTGTATCACAGGGGGAAGTAGTTCCTCAATGCTCTACAGGTACATGTAATGACACGCTGTATCACAGGGGAAAGTAGTTCCTCAATGCTCTACAGGTACATGTAATGACAAACTGTATCACAGGGGAAAGTAGTTCCTCAATGCTCTACAGGTACATGTAATGACACGCTGTATCACAGGGGAAAGTAGTTCCTCAATGCTCTACAGGTACATGTAATGACAAACTGTATCACAGGGGAAAGTAGTTCCTCAATGCTCTACAGGTACATGTAATGACAAGCTGTATCACAGGGGAAAGTAGTTCCTCAATCCCCTACAGGTACATGTAATGACAAGCTGTATCACAGGGGAAAGTAGTTCCTCAATGCTCTACAGGTACATGTAATGACAAACTGTATCACAGGGGAAAGTAGTTCCTCAATGCCCTACAGGTACATGTAATGACACGCTGTATCACAGGGGAAAGTAGTTCCTCAATGCCCTACAGGTACATGTAATGACAAGCTGTATCACAGGGGAAAGTAGTTCCTCAATCCCCTACAGGTACATGTAATGACAAACTGTATCACAGGGGGCAAGTAGTTCCTCAATGCCCTAAAGGTACATTTAATGACAAACTGTATCACAGGGGGAAAGTAGTTCCTCAATCCCCTACAGGTACATGTAATGACAAACTGTATCACAGGGACAAGTAGTTCCTCAATGCTCTACAGGTACATGTAATGACAAGCTGTATCACAGGGGGCAAGTAGTTCCTCAATGCCCTACAGGTACATGTAATGACAAACTGTATCACAGGGGGAAAGTAGTTCCTCAATCCCCTACAGGTACATGTAATGACAAACTGTATCACAGGGGGCAAGTAGTTTCTCAATGCCCTAAAGGTACATTTAATGACAAACTGTATCACAGGGGGAAAGTAGTTCCTCAATGCCCTACAGGTACATGTAATGACAATCTGTATCACAGGGGGCAAGTAGTTCCTCAATCCCCTACAGGTACATGTAATGACAAACTGTATCACAGCGGCAAGTAGTTCCTCAATGCTCTACAGGTACATGTAATGACAAGCTGTATCACAGGGGGCAAGTAGTTCCTCAATGCCCTACAGGTACATGTAATGACAAGCTGTATCACAGGGGCAAGTAGTTCCACAATGCCCTACAGGTACATGTAATGACAAGCTGTATCACAGGGGGACAGTAGTTCCTCAATGCTCTACAGGTACATGTAATGACAAACTGTATCACAGGGGAAAGTAGTTCCTCAATGCCCTACAGGTACATGTAATGACAAGCTGTATCACAGGGGGAAAGTAGTTCCTCAATGCTCTACAGGTACATGTAATGACAAACTGTATCACAGGGGGAAGTAGTTCCTCAATGCTCTACAGGTACATGTAATGACACGCTGTATCACAGGGGAAAGTAGTTCCTCAATGCTCTACAGGTACATGTTATGACAAACTGTATCACAGGGGAAAGTAGTTCCTCAATGCTCTACAGGTACATGTAATGACAAGCTGTATCACAGGGGAAAGTAGTTCCTCAATGCTCTACAGGTACATGTAATGACAAACTGTATCACAGGGGAAAGTAGTTCCTCAATGCCCTACAGGTACATGTGATGACAAACTGTATCACAGGGGGAAAGTAGTTCCTCAATGCCCTACAGGTACATGTAATGACAAGCTGTATCACAGGGGCAACTAGTTCCTCAATGCCCTACAGGTACATGTAATGAGAAGCTGTATCACAGGGGCAAGTAGTTCCTCAATGCCCTACAGGTACATGTAATGACAAACTGTATCACAGGGGCAAGTAGTTCCTCAATGCTCTACAGGTACATGTAATGACAAGCTGTATCATAGGGGCAAGTAGTTCCTCAATGCCCTACAGGTACATGTAATGACAAGCTGTATCACAGGGGAAAGTAGTTCCTCAATGCCCTACAGGTACATGTAATGACAAGCTGTATCACAGGTGAAAGTAGTTCCTCAATGCCCTACAGGTACATGTAATGACAAGGTGTATCATAGGGGGAAGTAGTTCCTCAATGCCCTACAGGTACATGTAATGACAAGCTGTATCACAGGGGAAAGTAGTTCCTCAATGTCCTACAGGTACATGTAATGACAAGCTGTATCACAGGGGGAAAGTAGTTCCTCAATGTCCTAGAGGTACATGTAATGACAAGCTGTATCGTAGGGGGAAATAGTTCCTTAATGCCCTACAGGTACATGTAATGACAAGCTGTATCACAGGGGGAAAGTAGTTCCTCAATGCCCTACAGGTACATGTAATGACAAACTGTATCACAGGGGCAAGTAGTTCCTCAATGCCCTACAGGTACATGTAATGACAAACTGTATCACAGGGGCAAGTAGTTCCTCAATGCCCTAAAGGTACATTTAATGACAAACTGTATCACAGGGGGAAAGTAGTTCCTCAATGCCCTACAGGTACATGTAATGACACGCTGTATCACAGGGGGAAAGTAGTTCCTCAATGCCCTACAGGTACATGTAATGACAAGCTGTATCAAAGGGGCAAGTAGTTCCTCAATCCCCTACAGGTACAAGTAATGACAAACTGTATCACAGGGGCAAGTAGTTCCTCAATCCCCTACAGGTACATGTAATGACAAGCTCTATCACAGGGGCAAGTAGTTCCTCAATGCCCTACAGGTACATGTAATGACAAGCTGTATCACAGGGGCAAGTAGTTCCTCAATGCCCTACAGGTACATGTAATGACACGCTGTATCACAGGGGCAAGTAGTTCCTCAATGCCCTACAGGTACAAGTAATGACAAGCTGTATCACAGGGGGCAAGTAGTTCCTCAATGCCCTACAGGTACATGTAATGACAAACTGTATCACAGGGGTAAGTAGTTCCTCAATGCCCTTCAGGTACATGTAATGACAAACTGTATCACAGGGGAAAGTAGTTCCTCAATGCCCTACAGGTACATGTAATGACAAGCTGTATCACAGGGGCAACTAGTTCCTCAATCCCCTACAGGTACATGTAATGACAAGCTGTATCACAGGGTCAAGTAGTTCCTCAATGCCCTACAGGTACATGTAATGACAAGCTGTATCATAGGGGCAAGTAGTTCCTTAATGCCCTACAGGTACATGTAATGACAAGCTGTATCACAGGGGGAAAGTAGTTCCTCAATGTCCTACAGGTACATGTAATGACAAGCTGTATCACAGGGGGAAAGTAGCTCCTCAATGTCCTACAGGTACAAGTAATGACAAGCTGTATCACAGGGGGCAAGTAGTTCCTCAATGCCCTACAGGTACATGTAATGACAAACTGTATCACAGGGGAAAGTAGTTCCTCAATGCTCTACAGGTACATGTAATGACAAGCTGTATCACAGGGGAAAGTAGTTCCTCAATCCCCTACAGGTACATGTAATGACAAACTGTATCAGAGGGGCAAGTAGTTCCTCAATGCCCTACAGGTACATGTAATGACAAGCTGTATCACAGGGGCAAGTAGTTCCTCAATGCCCTACAGGTACATGTAATGACAAGCTGTATCACAGGGGCAACTAGTTCCTCAATCCCCTACAGGTACATGTAATGACAAACTGTATCACAGTGGGCAAGTAGTTCCTCAATGCTCTACAGGTACATGTACATGTAATGACAAGCTGTATCACAGGGGGGAAGTATTTCCTCAATGTCCTACAGGTACATGTAATGACAAGCTGTATCACAGGGGCAAGTAGTTCCTCAATCCCCTACAGGTACATGTAATGACAAGCTGTATCACAGGGGGAAGAAGTATTTATGAAAGTTATTATATGATTATGTATTAACTATTTAGTATACAATACTCATCCTACATCCTAAGATAGCTAGTTACATGTGAATTGATGGTATGAAGTTTAACTGCACAAGGTGTTTTCTGTTGTTGATATCAGATTGCAGAAGCTGTAACCTTCTGATTACATTATCTAGAGGCATTGGATGTTTTGAAGTCAAACTGTAAAATGCATATCTTTTCAAAAAATGAAATGCTATCTGGTTCATGTTTCTGGAGGGGTCTGTGTTAAATGTCTATTCAAGAGTGTTGCCAGTTTGGGGATATTCAGGAAGTGCTTGAGGCTGGCTGCTTCTAGTTTTTGCCTGTAATGCGAATGTCTTTCTATTTTTTTTTACAGTAAAGTAATTTCAAAAATGTAATGACTTTGATATTTTATAATAGTCTAATGATCACTAAATAACTCTTATTCTTCGATAAAGTATGATATTGTTGACATCAACATGATCAAAATTAACTAGTAGTATTTGGTGGTATTGTGTTGCAGCCTAAGTAGACAACCTAAGAGTGAGGCATCTTTAGATCTCAAAGGAATAAGGACTTCCATGAGTAATCTTCACAATGTGGTGTTGACGTCAAGAAGGAAGATGAATTGTTTTTAATGGAAATATGCATAATGATATGAAATCAAATCACAACAATTGTTCTTTTGTTTGCAGGAGAATCCCAAACCAGCAACACTGGGGATAGCTACACTCATCTTTTGCAGGTATGCCCGTTTTCATTTCAGTGATCAGTGTATGCCCAACTAGTTACAATTTCAATACCAGAAAGACCGATATACCATCATATTGACGTGTGGAATTTTTTATCTGATGGTCTTACTTAGTTGCGTTATTATAATGACTACAGATTTGATTGTAGACTCGGTTTAAGAACATTATCAATGTCCTTATGCCATGGACTTACCAGTAGGTGACATTCGGGTTTCTTGGTTGAACAGGATCATATGTAACTCAAGCCAATTTTGTGGTGAGTCCCATACAATAAAAATAATAATCAAGCCACTGGTAATGCTTTTTTCAATCCTCTATGAAATTTCAGTGGCTTAGTTCAAGAAGTGGAACCATTGAAGTGAAATAGGTTAATGAAGTAAGGGTCAGCAAAATCTTGCTTACATTTTTCTCATACATTTTTCTCGTACCTTATTTTTGAACAGTTAAAGGGGCATTCACACGGTACAACTAGTTGTATACAATTTGTTGCATGCAACACATTGCATCGTGTGAACGGGCAAGTCAGTCCAACTTTTGACGTATGCAACTTGTTGGACGCGAGTTGTACGAAATAGGACATGCTCTATTTTCATGCGACAAGTTGTATGAACGCAGCCAATTAAAACGCGTATGAAAATCACGTGATATTTACACATCAATTTGTAAACAAAAAAGGCGACTTCGATTCACGTCGGTAACTTCTGTTTTTCGGTTTCCTAAGTGTCACCAATCAATAAAGGACCTATGAAAAGTAGGTACGTAGAATACCAGTGTACCAAATTATATATTTTGACATTTGCATCGGTCTAATTCTCCTGGTTAACCTGTTCATGGTGTTATTTGAAACGACAGGCTATGTACTGTAGACCAAGGTGAGATAAGGTCCACAATACGTTTCTAAAACTTAAAATACATCATACACACAAATACACGTCACAGTTTTAGATTCTATGGGAAAGTATCTATAATATGATGCCATTAACAACTATTTTAGCCAAAGCATATGTATCACTAACGACATCTGAAAATAGTGTACAGCGAAATAAATGCCATTTTCGCATTTTACCAATTCACTGTTCTAAATGTGATTATTTATTCAATTAACTTATAGCTACATTATAAGTTCCATTACAAAACCATTGGGTGTCTGCCCTTTGTCAAAACACCAATCATCATTCCGAAAAGACTCCAATATCCCAATATTCGTTTTCGAAATATAAAAAGTCTGGACCGAACCTCCATGTTGGATAGCATTGCAAAATCATGGTTCTTTTCGCGTCAGGCGAGATGCCTGTCACATCACATGTATTTCACACTCAGCTACCATACATACATCTCTGAATTCATCATACCATTAAGAATCAATTGACATTTTGTCTAAGTCACTAATACAAACGGTCCAAATGAAATCAACCGGAATATTCAAGTGTGAAACCAAACCCTGTGCTCTGAAACCTACCTGTGGGCTTTCTCATTTAAAAATGTAAACAAAGCAAACTTCTAGTTTTACTTAACATTTTACTATTCCGAGAGATTCGGTCGTCAATTTGTTGCATTCTTTAGCTCAGTTTTTTACGAATATGCATGGGTCGATAATCGTTGCAAGAATTGAGGAATTAATAATTAGAGTCCAGATACTTAGGCCTATTTGGAAACAGTCAACAGAAATCGTTCAACGTGCCGCCATGATTGACTCAAAATCGCGCACACTGACGACGGTATTGGTCTGCCTTTCCACGTGGTATCAAGGCGAGAATGGAAACATAAAAACAAACATAACTAGTTGATTTCAGATTGATTCTGATTACCTAACTTACATTACTCATTTATGTATGTATGTGATCCCAGCATCACGGTAAAACCTACTCCAAACTTTCCGCGTACTGCTATCAGTGAACTCGCTACGTTATGACGGGAGGTTACCGGTAGTGATGTCATATTAGTATACGTCAGCATCAACATCGTTGTACATATTTGTTATTTTCTTTGAGGTGCGGGTGAACTAGTACACAACGCATTCAGTTCATGAAGTAGTTCACTGTTTCAGTCTTGAATTATAATTTGAATATCTCTTCAATATCGTTTCACCCAGCAAAATAATGCACTGCTGCAAAATGGATACATGTATGCAGTACTGTTACTTATATAATCTAAAATGCCATAGAATTTATGAAACTCATAATAATCAGCTGTTTGTTTGGTCATAGAAATTGACATTCATTGTGTTATCCTTCGCATAAGATGCTTTTTAAATGTAACACACTGCAACATATACATATTTCCTTTGGAGAATTGTGAAATATTCATTGTGGAAAATTTATATGATTAGGTTAAATAAAACAGGCACTTCATTTCTTAAGTTAAAGTAGATGTATACCTGAAGGAAATTCGCCACGTTATATTTTTATTAATGTATAACTCATGTGTTGACAACTACTTCTCTTACATTTGGATTTTAACGTTTGATTGGCGGAACATTGACAGCTAAAGATTGCATCAGGTGCGCGTTTCAAAATAGGGGCCGACCATTTGAGATTCATGGATGGAGGTGGGTCATGGTCTGTTGGGGTTTGGGTGTGCGTTGCTGGGGGGTGGAGGGGTTGTGGAGCTGTTGTAGTGATAAGCCCAACATTCTGTTCTTTTAATCGAAATTTTCCATACTATAACCGAATATAATTGGTAATCAATACTGTTACTTTTTTGTGTTACCGATTTCAACGTTTCTTATAAATTGGGAAATAAGCTAAAAGTATCTGATTTCAACTGGCCAAAGGGCACTTTCAGGATTTTTATAGTTCATTCTTCTATATTATAACAAAATCTGAAATATGTCTTCAGGACATTTTGGATGACAATCATTCAATGTCCCAGAAAAGGAACCGATGTGGTTATTAAAATCGATAGCTGTGTGGGAACTTTGTAGATACACAAAAACAAAAAAGATACTAGAATGTATAAATTGTCCTGAGCCAAAGCAGATGCTCACCACGGACATGACGGATACTGAGTTTTGCAATGACTAGGAATTGCGTTGTTTTTTTGTCTTTGTACATGTGGGCATCGCCCTCGTGTTTTGACGTCATGTAACGGAAAATTTGTTTTCGACACATAAAACAAGTACGTTTTCTTATCGAATGTGTCACGTTATACATTTAATTTTCCATCATGGGGTTAAAAATTCAATAATATACAAGTCCGTTAAATTGCAAAGTCAGAGCTTGGTCCAGTACCGCCCGACCGCAAATCTCGCACAGCGTTGATTTTTCAAAGCTCTGCGTCTGAGCATTAACTCGGCAACCAAGATTCCAGCGATAATGTAGTGAATCACAAGCTTTTTGTCAGAGATCTCGCGAGACCTGAGTTGTATGCAACTCGCCGCCGTGTGAATGCCAAGTTGTATACAACTTCAGTTTGTGCAACTAATTGCATACAACAAGTTGTATACCACTAGTTGTACCGTGTGAATGCCCCTTAAGACGACATTGCTGGTATTTCATGGGATGACAGAATCAAAACTTAAGTTCATGTTCATACTAGTAGGTGATGTCTTCAAATATACAGTTCAGCTATATATCGATAGGAAGAGTCTTCCACAAAAAACATGACCTCCATTGCCTCGTCTGTAAATGTCTGCTGCTGTCGAGTGACGTCACCTGTTTTCCAACACTTGATTAGTTGGTACTTTGGGCTTTCCGTGAATGAACACCTGTGTATGGTGCTCATTTCTTAACATGATTTACTGCAGGTCAGCATTAAATCATAATATATTTGAGTGTTTTACAGAAACATTCTCACTATTTTGCCCTTCCTTTCACTTTGACACAGGCACCAAAATTGTGAATGACGAGGGACTGTTCTGACAGGTGGATAGTACTTCACATGAACCTAAGTTGACTGACCCCATGTGCGCTGTCAAGTCAGCAGCTTTGATGATGTCACACCTCTCGTTATAATGTGACAAATCACTATCAATTAGACTGTTTTGAAACAGGGTACACAACGTTATATTCATAGGTTCACTTTATTTCAACATAAAAAAAATTAAAATACAAAACAAGACAAGAACCTTTTTTTTTTTCAAATGCAAAATGAGCCCAATTTCCCCCCACAAAAAAATATAGCTGTGTAGAGTTGGGTATGTATTACTGACTTTCTATTAGCGTACCTGACTGAAACCTGGGGAGTGTTCCTGCTCAATGCGAGGACACTGTCATTGCTATGGAGAGTTTGTGCTGGGACACTGTCATTGCTGTTGAATCTTCCTGCTGGGACACTGTCATTGCTATGGAGTGTTCCTGCTGATACACTGTCATTGCTGTGGAGTGTTTTTGCTTGGACACTGTCATTGCTGTGAAGCGTTCCTGCTGGGACACTGTCATTGCTATGGAGTGTTCCTGCTGATACACTGTCATGTCTATGGAGTGTTCCTGCTGGTACACTGTCATGTCTATGGAGTTTTCCTGCTGGGACACTGTCATTGCTGTGGAGTGTTTTTGCTTGGACACTGTCATTGCTGTGAAGCGTTCCTGCTGGGACACTGTCGTTGCTATGGAGTGTTCCTGCTGATACACTGTCATTGCTGTGGAGTGTTTTTGCTTGGACACTGTTGTTGCTGTGGAATGTTCCTGCTTGGACACTGTCATTGCTGCGAGGGGTTCCTGCCGATACACTGTCATTGCTATGGAGAGTTTGTGCTGGGACACTGTCATTGCTGTGGAATCTTCCTGCTGGGACACTGTCATTGCTGTGGAGTGTTCCTGCTGATACAATGTCATTGCTGTGGAGTGTTCTTGCTTGGACACTGTTGTTGCTGTGGAGTGTTCCTTCTGATACACTGTCCTTGCTTTGGAATCTTCCTGCTTGGACACTGTCATTGCTGTGCAGCGTTCCTGCTTGGACACTGTCAATGCTGTGAAATGTTCCTGCTGGAACACTGTCATTGTTGCGGAGCATTCCTGCTTGGACACTGTCATTGCTGTGAAGCGTTCCTGCT